ACTTTCATCACGATAACAACGCGCAACTGCCGACGACAATGCTGCGGCATAAAAAATAACCAAGACAAAATGAAAGCACCAACAACGGACAAACATTCGGCCGTAGGCCCTCATACAAACGCAGTCGGCCTTCATCCACGACGTTCAAGACATGAACGCAACACGCCAACATGTAGAGGTGTTGCGAAGGACGACACCACCTATGACACCACCTCTATTTAGTCTCTAAATGCCTCCACCACGGAGGCCTCCATTTCCTCCTTTCCAGGCCACAATGCCCGGCAGGCATGCGTGAAGCACTCTGCTCTCTTCAGCTGCACTCCCTTCCCACCACGCGCATTCATGGCCACGGCCCCGTCGTAGCACGCCTGTGGCATTGCATGCATTGTCCGGAATACACACGTGATGCACGGCAGTAGTATTACGCCTCTCGTCGACAGTTTAGTGCTGTATGCATGCACACATACATTCGAACGGGCGGAGAGAGCCAAGGTTGGAACGAGCTTTGACAAAGCGAGGAGTTTGCCCGTCAGCGATCACTGCTGTGTGCAGTTTGGGCAGAGCGGGTCGAACAAGCAGCAGGATGGGAAGGTGTAACTATGCATATGCTACGACATTAGCAGCGTCGGGCGTATGTTGAAGTTTGATCCACCTCTGAAATGCAGCATTGCACTACTGCGGCTGTACAGCCCTATCTCTTCCTGGGAACAGCAGCTCGTTCCTTTCTCTCTGGACTCCGTGCTCCTTAGACAACAAAACCAAGGCCTTGGTGCTCCAACAACAACACCAAACAACAACAGCTGCATCCGCCCCTCTACCTGAGGCAATACTCACTTGGTTGCGGAACTTGTTGGCAGTGGTGGAGCCCGATCGACGTGTCACGTCCTCAGTCCGCACGGCTGTATTACGTGAGCGTGGCAAACCCCACGCAGACCCGGATGCTCCGCCGCAGCCTTCTTGGCAGCAGCTAGGGCCGTGCTCGGCATTGGCTCTGGGGCGGTGTCGTGATGGCAGTGATGGCAGTACGCGGCGCCAACCTTCGCGGCTACCTCAAACGCAAACGCACGCACCAGGGTGTTGGTGCCTCCTTCCGCCGGCGTAGTCGCCGCGATCAGCGACACCATCTGCTCATGGCAGGCCATCGTGTTCCCGGCCTTGTACCCCTTGCTCATGGCAGGCCATTGTATTCCCGGCCTTGTACCCCTCGACGTCGGGGGTTGGGATGTCCATAGCTTTGGGGGCGTGTTGCGGATTGTAGGTGATCAGTTTGTGTGCTGTGCGGTTTGTTGCTTTGTGTGCGTTGAGGGAGCACTATAGACCCGGCGGGGCTCACATAGGGAAGGGGGGACAGAGAAGCACAGAAGTGCAAATGCCTGCCATAGGTCTGCAAGGCCTCTCGTATATGATATTTTTAGACGATTTTGTCAGCGAACAAACACGCCTCGTAAGGCGTGGAACACCAGGGCGTGCTTGGCTGATTGAGTACCTCGACAATAACAAAAACATAACAAGAACAGAAACACCGACAACCACGCACGCTGTCCTTCGAAAGGACAGACACCTGGCAGAGGGCAGCGATCCCCGCCCCCCCTCCACCCCGCCCCATTTCGCTTGAGAATCTGCCGCCATCTCGCCGACTCGGGGACACAGGTGAGCGTCACATCACCCCCTCGTCATTGCGAGGGAGCGGGCCGGGTTGGTGACATGTTGCCACAACGACGGCACGTCTTCGTTTCACCACCTGACCTGACCTGACCACGGATGGATGAAGCAATCGAAAGGAGGAATACGTGGGACAAAACCACAACACGCCTTGACGGCTGTGCGGGAGAAGACAGACAATCACAATCACACACCAACACGGTGCTATGCTATCTCCTCAAGCAACAGATGGGTTCACTCACTCGATTCACTCTGCAGCAGCCAAGCAGACTATATACAACAGCAGTGGTCCTCGTTTGAGCTTCGGGAGGGCGGAATCACAAAAAAAGCATTCGCGGGCCCAAGTTCGGAGAACGAGCGCTACTAAGGTCATATCACCTCTCGATTGTGCTAAGCGCCCCCCCGCGTGTCCAATCACGTCACGCGTCGAAGTCACTTCTGTCGTCACCCTCTCCTTCCTCCTCCTCCTCCTCCTCCTCATCGTCATCTTCTATCGTCGGTCTACGCGGCTTCTTCGACACACTTCCACCGCCCCCCCCGCTGCCTCGCCTCTTCTTGCCCGACGAGGACGCTTCGTCATCATCATCGTCGTCATCATCATCATCATCATCATCGCTGTTTTCCTCCCCCTCCTCTTCCGCCGCCGCCGACCCGCTGCCGCGCTTTCTTCTCCACTGCTACCGCTCTCCTCTTCCCCGCTGCCGCCGCTACCGCTCTCTTCCTCCCCGCTGCTGCTCCCCTCCTCGCCGCTGCCGCTGCTGCTACCGCTCTCCTCTTCCCCGCTACTGCTGCTGTTGTTGTCGTCGTCGTCATCGTCGTCGTCTTCGACCTGCTTCGCCTTACCCTTACCCTTCACCTCCGGCTTTTTCGGCGATGCTGCAGCCGCAGAGGCAGACGCCGCAGCAGCGGCCGGTTTCTTCGCAGTGGCAGCGGCAGCAGCAGTCTTGGGGGGTGTCTTAGCGGTGGCGGTAGCAGCAGCGGCGTCGGCCTTCTTCTTGCCGCCGCCCGGGGGGCGAGGAACGTCCAACACGCTCTGTTTGGAGTTGTAGAGAGTCTCGTACGAGAAGTTCCAGTCGGGGGGCACGTTCATCGCCCACGCGAACTTGTCCCGCAGTCTTCGCGAACACCTGTCCCATGTATTCGAATCGAATGAAAATGGATGAGGAGAGGATGGGGGTTATCCGACTTGCCGAACGAGGGAGGGGGGTGTCAACGGAGCGCCCTACAGCCAACGCGGGGAAACTCTTCCGAGTCTGCCGCAACTCTGAGAATCAATGCAAGGTGATGGAGGCATGTTTGAATCAAGGAAAAAGCGGTGCGTCAGGCACCGTCCGCTGCGGTGCCCGCTCTCTCCCGCTAGACCTCGAACGCGTAGTTGCCAGAAGCCCCGTCAAAAACCACGGTGATCCCCCACTCTGCCGAAGCAAGCGTGTTCAGGCTTGTGGCCATCGACATCGCGAGGGGGACGACGTCGTCGTCCAGCACAAGAGGAACTGCCACACTCCCGATGCCAGCAGCTTTGTGCAACGCAAAATGACCGTCCACGACCAGGTGCTTCTGCCTCGTGCCATCTTCGTCGTCGAGAGGTAACCGCTTAGAAGCTACCTCCTTCAGGTATGCCGACAATCCGTTAACTCCCATGGCACTCCGTCGGAGGTAACAGGACGTGCTTTCGCGCAGCCCAAAGCAAAGTGCTCCCGTGCATGCGTACGGAGGTAGTGACAGCAGTCCTTTTTTTATCGTTTTTTTTCTTTCGGTGTTGTTGCCGTTGGCAGTCTGTTCGTTCTTTTGGAACGACCATACATCGCCGTTGCGGTATGTGACTGCAGCGTAATCTTACGATTGGACGCGTGGCCAATGACCACGATGTCGTTGGAACATCGCCAGACATCCACACAGGCTAACCCGCATGGGTTGCATCCCAGATCCTCGCCTCCTTGTGGTTTTGTGGAAAAGTAGTAATAAGCAGGAAAAACATATGCATACCTCATTTCGTCCCAAGGGTGTACGGGAGACACACCTGAATGAAGCCAACGAAACCAGGTGTCATTGGCGTTCATCGCCATAGTTGCGACGGCCGTATTTTTGACGTATACACTCTAGGAACCAACACACCAACACTAGACTAGAGCAACGTGTTGACTTCGTGTGTGCCCCCGAGGTCGTGATTTCAAAGCCTCCAGGAAGCTACCTACTTTTTCGCGCTTTCCATGGCGTCCATCCGGGCGTTGGAAACATGGGAACGCATACGATCCCGATTTCTCATTATTTTTGGGGCCCGTCGTGGTTTTTGCGGGCTATTCGTCCATTATTGAGCTATTTGTAAGGCTAAGCGACCTTAACACGGTCTAACAAAAAAAATAATCGTAAAAAAAAAGACGGGTGCTTCTTGCGCGGATAGGGCAAAAAAAAATAACCGCGTCAATGCTAATCCCAAAGCGCTAATATTTTCTACTTTCATGTTCCCGCATGGGAAAAAACAGCAACATGCCACCACACTATGAACGACAATACCCCACAGCTAGATAGAATCGTGTGACGCTGGACGTTTCGAAGCAAGAACACCCTACCAAGATGCGATATGTGACGCGAACGTCACTGCTGTTCCGACAAAAAGCCTAGAAGAGGCTGGGCATCATCCAGTTGCCGGGGTTTTGGGGTATGAAACCCGCCGCTGCCACGGGTGGCAAGGGGGGTGCTGCATGGAAGCCGGGGGCCGCGCCGTAGTATGGGTGGGCAGGCGCTTGCATGGGGCGAGCGGCAGCCGGTGGGACGGCCTGCTGATTGATGTCGGCCGCTGCCAAAGGCTGCTTCCTGTGTATTGTGTGGGCAATCACGCGTCAATCGACCGCAAAGGAAAGGGGGGTAGCCATCCGTTCTCTTGGGAACGGGGTTTTGTCTACCCAAGACTCGCAGAACATCGACACCGGAACCTCAAGCAAACAATACCATCTTTTACGCACCTCGGACGGCCCCGCTTCGGTTTCTTGGGAGGAGAGGGCGTCTCGGGGTCGCTCGAGGAAGAGGGGTCGGTGGAAGACGGGGGCGGTGATGGGACCTCTCTGTGCTTCGTGCTCCTCGACGATGACTTCGACGGCGCCTTCGACGGCGTCTTCTTGGAGTGACAGCAGTCCTTTTTTTATCGTTTTTTTTCTTTCGGTGTTGTTGCCGTTGGCAGTCTGTTCGTTCTTTTGGAACGACCATACATCGCCGTTGCGGTATGTGACTGCAGCGTAATCTTACGATTGGACGCGTGGCCAATGACCACGATGTCGTTGGAACATCGCCAGACATCCACACAGGCTAACCCGCATGGGTTGCATCCCAGATCCTCGCCTCCTTGTGGTTTTGTGGAAAAGTAGTAATAAGCAGGAAAAACATATGCATACCTCATTTCGTCCCAAGGGTGTACGGGAGACACATCTGAATGAAGCCAACGAAACCAGGTGTCATTGGCGTTCATCGCCATAGTTGCGACGGCCGTATTTTTGACGTATACACTCTAGGAACCAACACACCAACACTAGACTAGAGCAACGTGTTGACTTCGTGTGTGCCCCCGAGGTCGTGATTTCAAAGCCTCCAGGAAGCTACCTACTTTTTCGCGCTTTCCATGGCGTCCATCCGGGCGTTGGAAACATGGGAACGCATACGATCCCGATTTCTCATTATTTTTGGGGCCCGTCGTGGTTTTTGCGGGCTATTCGTCCATTATTGAGCTATTTGTAAGGCTAAGCGACCTTTACACGGTCTAACAAAAAGAAAATCGTAAAAAAAAAGACGGGTGCTTCTTGCGCGGATAGGGCAAAAAAAAATAACCGCGTCAATGCTAATCCCAAAGCGCTAATATTTTCTACTTTCATGTTCCCGCATGGGAAAAAACAGCAACATGCCACCACACTATGAACGACAATACCCCACAGCTAGATAGAATCGTGTGACGCTGGACGTTTCGAAGCAAGAACACCCTACCAAGATGCGATATGTGACGCGAACGTCACTGCTGTTCCGACAAAAAGCCTAGAAGAGGCTGGGCATCATCCAGTTGCCGGGGTTTTGGGGTATGAAACCCGCCGCTGCCACGGGTGGCAAGGGGGGTGCTGCATGGAAGCCGGGGGCCGCGCCGTAGTATGGGTGGGCAGGCGCTTGCATGGGGCGAGCGGCAGCCGGTGGGACGGCCTGCTGATTGATGTCGGCCGCTGCCAAAGGCTGCTTCCTGTGTATTTTGTTGGCAATCACGCGTCAATCGACCGCAAAGGAAAGGGAACAACATGTGTTAGAGGGGGGTAGCCATCCGTTCTCTTGCGAACGGGGTTTTGTCTACCCAAGACTCGCAGAACATCGACACCGGAACCTCAAGCAAACAATACCATCTTTTACGCACCTCGGACGGCCCCGCTTCGGTTTCTTGGGAGGAGAGGGCGTCTCGGGGTCGCTCGAGGAAGAGGGGTCGGTGGAAGACGGGGGCGGTGATGGGACCTCTCTGTGCTTCGTGCTCCTCGACGATGACTTCGACGGCGCCTTCGACGGCGTCTTCTTGGAGCGCCTGTGTACGATTCCCGGTCGGGACGGAAAAACAAAGTTAGGAACAGAAACGGGCGGTGACTGCAGCAACCGGCACTTCACTCAAACCGAGGACATGAGCCAAACATGTACATATCTTGTGCTGGACGGAGCTACTCTGACCGACCCCGCTGTCCGAGGGAGCTAGCTGGTTCGGAAACAACTTACCGGATGGGTGTCGCCCGGTCCGGGGGCGTCGCAGCCGGGGGGGGGCGGCGGATACAGTCCCAACGATGTACTGGGCCATGGCCATCAGTCGAGGTTCGATCAACCCATACACTTTTGCGGCAACGTCGTCGACCAGCGTCGCATGTTGCGTACCGTCCAGCGACTCCTGTGCCCGAATGAGATTGGGGTGGGGTGGGCGGGGAGGGGCGTCGTGCAGGAGTGAGGGGAATGTCGGCATCAAATGGTGCCAAGGCGAGTACACATGATAAGCCTAAACCACACACACGCCGAACGTTCGTGGTGGATTGACGGCACCAAATGATCAACACAGACAAGTACTAACAATACAGACGCGTCGAACCTTTCAAGAGGTGCTCCCATTCTTCGGGGTCGCCGATCAAGTGGTGGCCTTGTTGCTGTTGGCGGCGGTCTTCTTGCCCACCGTACCCGTCCCGTCGCGGCACCTGCAGCCGGCCCCAGCCCCTCCTTCAGCTTTGTCGTCGCAGAGGCCAGGCTCTGAATGTGATTATAGTAGGAGATAAAAAGGACAGAAAACATGTTGTTAGGGTGGCTTTCCAAACCGGACGGGGGCAATCAGTTCGTTTACCGGACGGGGGCAATCAGTTCGCTTACCGGACGACCCATTATGGACCACGTATATACCCGACAATACCACGCGACACAGAAAAAAACAACGCAAGAAAAGGATCAAGCAGCGAAACCGCTCGCCCGCCACGTCATCACTCTAGGAACCAAACGTTGCACCATCCGGCATACACACACCTTCGTGGCTTCCTGGAGTTCGGGAGCCAGGGAGGATTTCAGGATACCCATCACGCACGCGCCGTTGGCGGTGACGACCTTGTCCAATGCCTTCTCGGTGGGGTGCACGTCGGGTTTCTTCTGCTCCACCTCCTTCAAGACAGCCTCCTCGAGGAGACGATCCTCAACCACCTTGGACAAAATCTTCTTGAGAACGTCCTTGTGACCTTGAGGAAACTTTTGAGGATTGTTTGGCAGGGTGAGTAGTTTGGCGCATGGTACTGGAAGTGCCGCGGACCTACCTCAAGGAGCAAGCAGGATTTTGGAACACTCGGGGGGGAATTTTCCGGTCATCTCTCCCCTAACTCCGAGGCATGTCACCTCATTTGATTGGAGAACCTTGACGGTCTTCGCCAGGTCGCTCTTCGCGTAGCCGTCCAGACCCTCCTCCGGGAGCTCGATTACGGCTCCCTCCGAGGCCCGCCTACTCGAACGCCGTAGTCCTGACAAAACAGAGACGGCAGATTAATTATCTCTAACAGCAGTACCCGACTCTGTCGCGAGCGAGATAAGACCAAGGTGCTGGCGACACATCTAGCAGGCAGGTTTTCGCGTACGAAACACCCGCGAAAACGGGTACCGTTACGCAGTCTTGTCAAGGCGAGCTACAGCAGTAGTGAAATGGCAAACACAACCTGCACAGCATACGTCGTTTTGTGGCCCGCAACGCCTCCTGCACGTATATTGCAATGGTATATTGCTTCTCGACGCCTGTGCCCCCAGCATAAAATCGCCAACTTCAAAGCAACATACTTCAGGGCATACATACGAGCATCATCTGACGCTCCGGTTTGTCCAGCTATACCCCCGGTGTTGGACTTTCCCGGCGGTGCGGGTAAAAGCGGCGTTCCGGCACTTCCTACCATCGAGATCGAAGCCAAAGGGTCCAGGGAGGCGAGGTAGGTTGAATACCACATTGGGATCCGACAAAAAAACTAAGTCGCATTATTTTCCAGGTCCGCTGCAGATTATTCTTGATCTTTCCCCCCGCTTGCCGCGTGTCCACCATTGGTGCCCAGATGAAAACACCATGTTCCCCGGGACCATCCAATTGCTGTCGTTCGTGTCTGGGCTCTCCCCTTTTCCCGCAAATCCTCCAAACAGTCCACACGCGCACGACTGAATGCGAAACACCCCAACCTCCTGGCACGAATGAATCAGTTGGAGCAATCGAGATTTCATTTTTCTGTCCTTGAAAGTGAGCCACAACCACGCACAGCCTCTCAATCGACGCGCATGCAACGCACATACCACCGTGTGACCGATCTGCCCCGCACACAACCTCGATCTTCAACCCCAAATTGACCCCATACTCCTCCCGGATCTGTGTCACTGTTCACGCTCGATCTGCAGGCGGACGAGGAACTGTTGGTGTCCATTCTCCCCCAGGAGTACGAGAACTCGGTGATGGACAGCCCGTGCCGCCAGGCGGAGCAGNCCTCCTGCTCGCGGGCCTCGGCGATCGCCTTCTGGAGATTCTCCGATGCGGCGGCGACTTCCTGCGCGTATGCTTTGGCCCTGGCGATGAGGGCGGCGGTGGAGGCTTCCTGTTCCTTCATGGCCGTGTAGAGGGCGTCGTCGCCGAGTGTCGTGTGTCGGTGCTGCTGCTCCGCCTGGCGGCACGGGCTGTCCATCACCGAGTTCTCGTACTCCTGGGGGAGAATGGACACCAACAGTTCCTCGTCCGCCTGCAGATCGAGCGTGAACAGTGACACAGATCCGGGAGGAGTATGGGGTCAATTTGGGGTTGAAGATCGAGGTTGTGTGCGGGGCAGATCGGTCACACGGTGGTATGTGCGTTGCATNAATCCTGCACCCTCGCCCTCCTGTAGCTAAAAAGTAGGGGAGGGGCGGAGGGGGTGGAGGGGGAAGAGGGCAGGGAGAACCAGCCTGGTTATCACAGTACTCTATGGCAAAGCGATGATTGAATGCATCACGATGGGCGATATGAGCGATTGAGCGATGCTGGAGAGACGTGCGTGAGGTGGTAACTACTGCAAGCGCGAGAACACGACTGACTCTATTGAATCATAGTGGCGGCGCAAAGCAACCGGTACTCAAGCATGGGAACAAGAGTAGCAGACCGCACGGCTTGCCAAAACGTGCTTTACTACTTTCTCGGCCATGGTTCTCGGACACCAAAATGGNGTGCCCATCGCCGGATACATAATAATCCCAACAAAAGCTCCGGCAACTGGTGTATATTGATACAGCCTACTTTTGTTGAGATTCTAGTCACCGACCGGCCTCGTCATACCGCGGGAGGGCAGAGGCACTGCTGCCGTTCCAATATGTTTGGATCAATCATCTCCACGTGCAGCTGACCGTCAAAGCGCTTCTCATCCTAATGTCTCCTCGCCCAGAGCTTGTCAGCGCCCGACTGATGCAAGGTGGCGGACGTTGGTCAGTGATAGAACCGCGCGGGAAGCGGCGGGGTGTGTGTGTGTGTGTGTGTACTCATAGTCGTGCATGCCGTNCGGCGAAGGGAACCAGGGGACCAAACAAACAGACCAGAATATGCGCTTTGTATATGATATCGTAGAANTGCGCGGGAAGCGGCGGGGGAGGCACAAAAGAGTGTTGCCGTCAGATAGCAAATGCACGAAGCAAGCGATGAGGGTATCGAACGCAGCGGGGAGCAAAACGTCCGCAAAGGATGTACAGTTGACCATCCGCCCGCGTGCACAGAAGAGTTGGGCGAAGGGAACCAGCGGACCAAACAAACAGACCAGAATATGCGCTTTGTATATGATATCGTAGAATCACGTCTCCCAATTGTCCCACCGTAGGGGTGGGGAAGCATCTCAAAGTGTTGGTGCATTTTGATCACTGACCATGTGGAGGACACCTGTCGGGAGTATAACCAACCATGTGTACACATACAAAGTGTAGGAAGATACAGCTCCACCGGGGTATCTTGTCACTGGGAGAGTGACAAGAAACGCACCGTCGGAGAATTGTCCCTTCACAAGTCCCTGGCCACTTGCCGAGAGAAGAAGCGGAGAGTCTTCGACTTTCCTCTCCTCCTGATCTCTCCGGCCACTCTCTTTCTCTACCTCTCTCCTCGTTGCATCTCACGAAAGGAAAAGCCACCCCTGGCAGTGGGAGAACACTTCAAGAGCACCGGCCTCTGTCTCTGACAGGGACCAGTGTCCTCATTGGCGTCGACNCCTTCCAAAGTCCCTGGCCACTTGCCGAGAGAAGAAGCGGAGAGTCTTCGACTTTCCTCTCCTCCTGATCTCTCCGGCCACTCTCTTTCTCTACCTCTCTCCTCGTTGCATCTCACGAAAGGAAAAGCCACCCCTGGCAGTGGGAGAACACTTCAAGAGCACCGGCCTCTGTCTCTGACAGGGACCAGTGTCCTCATTGGCGTCGACGAGAACACGGCTCAGCCGTGATTTGTAGCGAGACGGAAAGGACATAGAAGAGGAAATCGCGAAAATGACGAAAAGCTCGTCACAGCGAAAAAATGAGCTACGTGACCAAGTAAGGGAGGCCACGGCGCTCGTGGTCGAAAAGGATGCGACGCTGGCGAGCCAGGCGCGGGAGCTGGAGGAGCTGCGGAAAAGCTCGCCGACACTGTTTCCCCGTCACCGTCGACCGCTACCCCACCGGGAAGGGGCACCCTTCCTCAACGTGTGTCTGTGCAACGTCCCTCTCTGGGAGATCGCTCCCAACAGAAGCCGATTCCCGAGGAGGCCGAGGCAGCCACCAGCAAGGAGAAAGGCGCGACCCGCGAGGGGTCAGAGACGGGCAGTGACGAGGATGAAAACGACGGCGACCAAGCGGAGTGGGGTAACGAGAGCGAGCGGCACGTCATGTACCAGTTGCTCGAGGGCTTCCGGTCGCAGAAGCTGTCCGCGGACGATCGGCGCGCGCTGATGACCTCCGCTGGGGGCCAGCTTGCTGACATGCTCTCACACCACTGGAAGGAGCAGTCACACCCACCCGAGTGGCTGGCGTCACTCTTCCGACCGACCGCAACTCCCCCCACCACGACTCCGGCCTCTGCAGCAGAAGTGAACCAGATGAATACTTCTTCGACAGCACGTAGCAGTATACCAGTTGAGGGAAATCAGAGCAGTGGGGACAGCACCTCTCCCGGCCTGGTCTTCCGTCAACCAATCTTGCCTGCTGTCACTCAGAACACACTTGTCCATCCTCAGAACCTAGCCCCTGACGTAGCATCTACTCCGGATAGCCAGGACAGCGCACACAGACTTCACCCTGTAGCACTGTCTACGCCCCCGTTTGCGCATTTTTCTATTCCCACAACAAGTACCCCTACCTCAACACACACATCGGGACACACCCAGAAATTTACTTTTCGCCAGAACGACCTTCCGAAATAAATATCGTTTTCGGGGAAACCAGGAGATTCCGATGTTGTTGAGATACTGACCCGATACCAAGCACGTGTGAAACTAGCCTCTGTTGCAGCAGACGACCCGCCCGAATCTGTTGTAGACCAACGCGCGATTCAATTCATCCCCTTCGTCATTCGAGCCCAAGCCTATGACACTCTAGTAGAACTGGTTAGTGGTACTCTCGAATGGCGATCGGCACACCGGTGGACCGCACGTCGGAACGCAGGACAAGTTGTCAGGCCACGAGCACCGGCAACTTGGAACGAATACTGTCAAGCTTTCACCTTTCATTTTTCCGCGCCCAATTTCCTATCCACGATGGACCACCTAACCCGATTCACCGTGTTGACTCCGATTCCCAACCAGTCAGTAATCACTGTCGCGCAGGCCACTATCGACCGCATCATCGGCATCTTTGGATCGCCTGAAATGTTGCATTCCGACCAAGGACCTGAATTTGAGAACAGTGTAGCCCAGCAACTACAGCGTATTCTCAACTATCAAAAAAACCGCACTACACCATACCGTCCGCAAGGTAATTCTGTTTCAGAACGAGTACATGCTACCATGCACGCAATGCTCGCCATGTATAGTTCCATGAACCGCGACAACTGGGCATCACTGCTGCCTTTTGTCCAACTGGCTTACAACACGTCATTTAGCTCCATGCATGAGACACCATTCTTTCTTATGTTTGGACGGAAGCCACGACCACCAGTTGACACTATTCTCGGCATCCCTCATGTGGGAGCAACAGCAAATACCGAGGAATTATCTCAAACTACACAGGAAAATTTATAGGTTGCTTTTAAACTAGCGCGCCGTAACCTATAGGAACGCACACAACACAAGCTGCCGAGAACGCTAAAATGCGCCCTATCCCTGTGTTTAAACCTGGTGATCTAGTACTTGTGTACCGCCCATACCAGCATTCGGATGGATCAAATCCGAAATTATTGTTACCGTGGAGAGGACCTTACGTCATCTGCTCTAAATTATCACCGGTGGTATACAGAGTGAGACGCCAGCACGAAACTCGTGAAGTTTCGGTCCATTTAGCCCACATTAAATAGACGGTACTACGCGAGGAAAACGCCACCGGCGCAAGATTTTGATAAACTTTCCGAGTTTTTCTTCGGACGCCAGATTCCGATGCCCGAGCTAGGCCATTCCGACGAAGCTCAACCGCAAATTGAATCCCACGTGGTTGACAAATTGGTAAGCCATAAAAGTGGTAGGGGGCCGAAAACCCCGTACAACTTCACGTATCGTTTGCGTCTTCGAGGATACGGCCCTGAGTCAGACCTGCAATATAGAGCAGACGAAATTCCACAATGTCAAGAAATGATGACTGCCTACCGAATCCGTTGTGGTTTGGACATCGCGTAGTCTGATAGATCTTCGTCTCGTGCCCCAGTGGAACAGGGAGACCCAAAACCACCCAGTAAAACAGGGAAACGACAACGAAAACAGGCAACTACTCAAGAACCTTCAAGTCGAAAATTGGTTACGCCAAGTGACTCGAGCCATTGAACAAAACCAGGAAACGACGACGAAGGCGCCTAAGTGAGGTTCCATTACCCAAGTCGCGTTCTGCTACGACATAAGAGTGATACTCAATTACCCTGCCGTACTAGCGACCGAAAGCGAAATCGGGCCCGGAAATTAAACGATATATATATTCTGTCGTTCCTAACAGTTGCCATCTCTTGTATCGGTTCCGAAATTTGGGACATTTTCTACTACTCTTATTCTGTGTAATATTTAGCACAGGACCAGTAGCCACGGTGGTTGGTTGTATGCATTGAAAACAACCTATTTTATTAATAAGTGTTTGGGGAAACACTCGCGAGGAGAGTTGAACTAAACCACAGCTATCCCAAGATCTTATTTTTGATGAATAGATAAACCTGCCAGAAGGTCACCTCATTACAAGTTCATCCCTCATCAAGTCCTTATTTTTGATGAATAGATAAACCTGCCAGAGGGTCACCTCATTACAAGTTCATCCCTCATCAAGATCTTATTTTTGATGATGGATTAATTTGCCAGAGGGTCACCTCATTACATATTTATCCCTCATCGCAATCTGATGTTATGATGAATAGAGAGACTTGCCGGAGGGTCACCTCATTACAAGTCTATCTCTCATCAGGATTTTGATTAGGATGAATAGACAAACTTGCCGGAGGGTCACCCCATTACAAGTTTATCCCTCATCAACCCCACATCATAGCATGCTACGCGAGCATGATCATGCGAAGTTCATTTTTTTTCTAGACTGTACAAGTATGGACCACAACTAAATATCATTACTCCGTCTGAAGACTGCGTGTTTTTTGACACGCGTTGTACGATGATCAGGCCGAGTTGATCATGTTGTATCAGGTAGGTTAACTCCGATACATGCGTCTCCATGAGCCACTCATATCTCTGGCCGCCAACAGCACATCTTTAGCACGGATGGACTTGTGGTGCAAGGTGGGGGGGTGTGATGTGGAGGACTCGGGAGTACAACCATGTGTTGACACATACAAAGTGTTGTTGTTGTTTTTCTTCACATTCAACTCGTGTCAGTTGCTAATCTCAAAATCTAGCCGAGACTCGGTCCGTGGTCACAAAAATGCTAGAGCCATCAGAAGATCTAAACAACACACACTATTAGCAAGAGAAGGGTACGCAAGCCTGAGGAGGTACACATGCAATCCCTGCAGCACGTTTGCATGCTCACAAACTGAATGAAACGCCCACACACTACAATTCGACTAATACAGCAGCAGCATCACCCCCCTTGTCCCGCATTTGACCACAATGAAAGGTTGTCGACTACTACAGCGTCTTGCTGTCTGAAGTGCTGTCTGTACAAAAATAACACCATGCATGGTGCATGGTACACAAGCTCGGGGCATGCAGCTGCTGTCTGAAGTGCTGTCAGAATGAGTCCGTGGACATACAACGAAGAACATCCAACCAAAGCCATCATTGCAATTGACAATCACCCGAATCTATCCAGATCATCTGTGTTATGCACAGCAGTGCAAACATCGACACTGACTAGGAATCGTTCCACATTGAAGGGGTCTTCCACGATGCAGGTAGTGTAGGAAGACACAGCTCCATCGGGGCATCTTGTCTAAGAGTGTGACAAGAAACGCACCGTCGGAGATTTGTCTCTTCCAAAGCCCCTGGCCACTTACCGAGAGAAGAAGCGGAGAGTCTTCGACTCTCCTCTCCTTCTGCTCCCTCCGGCCTCCCTCTCTCTCTTTCTCTACCTCTCTCCTCGTTACGTCTCACGAAAGGAAATAGCCACCCTTGGCAGTGGGAGAATACTGCGAGAGCACCGGCCTCTGTCTCTGACACTGTCTGACAGGGACAGTGGTCGCCTCGGTGGTCTAGTGGTATCCTCGTAATCCGCTAGTTGCAGAGGTCGTGACTTCGAACCCCCATGGGGTGAAAAATTTACGAAATGTGCGGGTGAAGGCGAAATACAAACAGAGCTGACACGCTCTCGTGAGTACCAAACTTCGACGTTAGCACCGTTGACGAGGGAAAGGGACGGCTGGACCCTTCTCGCGATAAAAATAAAATTCAGCACGCACCGCAGGGAAGTCGGGGCATGAAAAGAAATAAAAAGAAGAAAAGCCCCCTCCTGTGTGACCCTGGATGGTTGAAGTTGTACCAAAAACACACTGACAAGTGTAGTACTCTAGACTCCATAATATGCTGAAAAGTGTAGTACACGTCCCACCACGAACAATAGGAGGACCACTGTCGCCATAATCAATAGGACGAAAACACGAAAATACACAGTCGCACACCGTTCGCCCCGGTGGTTTAGTGGGTAGCCTCGTAGCCTGGTAAGGGCCAGGTCATGGGTTCGAGTCCCGGCAGAGAAAGTTATCTTCTCACTAAATAAATCCTGGTCTAGGATGAAAGCGACGCGCTGCAAAGCTCGTTTGTTAGTAAACCATAATCGACTTCGTAAGTCGCGAGGGAAGGGATTGCTGTACCCTTCTCGCGATAAAAATACCTCAGGCATGAACCGCAGGAGGGGGTCCAACCCCGCCCTCCTATGTGACCCTGGTTGGGTCGTCTAGCTAGTAGAAGTGGAGGATAGGGGCCAGAGGGGCAGCCGACAGAGTCCAATGATGGGAGAAAAACAACAACAAAACAACAGCAGTGTTAACCACGCACTCCTCTCTACCTCCATTACTGTACCAGAGACAGCCGCCGCCGGGTGCTCGTCAACCATTGTCTGTCATCCTTTTCACTGCTGTGGATATTTACCAGGAGAGTGGACAGGGGCGAGAGAGGCTCATTCCCCAAGCCGTCTGCCTTTACAGGTGACATGTCCGGCAAAGGAGATCGATAGCGATAGAGGCGACTTGATGCACTGCCCAGCACTCCACCGCTCGCTCCCACCCGACAAACGTGGCCGAACAAAATGAACGCTCAACCACGCCGCAAGAAACAGCACGTCACAATCACGACAACGCACGCATGCAGCAGACATACAAAGACTATGATGCATACGGCACCCTTTTTTCTCCCCGGTCGAGGCGAAATGACAACCCGCGCATGGCTGGTGCTGCCCACGAGTAAGACGTCGAAAACTGAAGTACGACCATATACAATGTATCAAGAGAGAGAGAGACGACCGATGAGCAATTCGTATACCAGACTAGTCCAAGTGATTAGAAAAAGCTCGCTAGGCAGTCAGTCTACTCCGCCGAGGGTTCCTGTGTGTACCCACGGTTGGTTCATATGTCTTTAGAACGAGAAGCCCTGCCGCATACCAGCACTAGGCACAACAATGCAACACTGCTGTACAAGAGACTCAAGGCTCACGGTGGGCTGGCGCGGAAAGACCGGGCGGGTGATGGTGACGGTGAAAATGCTCCGTCAACGAGACACGAAAAGACAGCAAAACAGCGGAAACAGACCAGAGTACCACCCCGTGCCTCACCTGCTGCACACGCAACATGCTTGACGGTCCACTCCACAGACTTGCCTCCTTTCATGGGGCGTGAAGGCGCTGGGCAGGGTTTGCAGCACGCCTTGTCCGTACAGAACTATGCACGAACAGGAGCATGACACAGCAGATACGGCAGTAGATCGACCTAAGGACAGGACAAATTCTCCTTTTGGGTCTTGAGGCCTTCTGACAGATGATTACTTCAAGTAGCTCATTTGATCTCTTTATTGTTGTTTTTTATTTTTTTTTGTTTTTTTTCTTCGTAATACGGAGTATCACACAACAAATCCATCTCTCACTCTTAGAAATAAGTCTAAGATAGANTTTGTTTTTTGTTTTTTTTCTTCGTAATATCACACAACAAATCCATCTCTCACTCTTAGAAATAAGTCTAAGATAGATTAGCAATGAATCCATAGCGTGAGCGAAAGGCTACCTGTATGTCTACGGCTTCCCAGACAGAATACAGCGATAACTCCCCTGTGGGTAACAAGCTCAACAAGGCAGTTTGGTAGCCATCTTGTGTATCTTTACGCTATAGCTTTTACAATCTACGGAACGTTCTGCTACCATAAGAGTTTATTTCAAACTTTTATCTGAGGATTCGGTAATAGTTTTAAGCCCTCAAAATTGGCGGGACTTTTGCTCTAGGTCAGTGAGCTGTAACGCTGTCTTTCAAGAATGGCTGCTTCCAAGCTTACCTCCTGACGGTCCCAGAACAAATATCACCTTTACCACTGAAACTATTTTATGGACCTACAGTCTGGGCTGTTTCCCTCTTGGGTATGAATCTTTGCATACATACTCTGTCTGCATTCGGAGTTTGCAAAAGTTCAGTAAGAAATAATCTCCCCTTTACTTACACAGCAGTGCTCTACCCCAGATTTTCTACAACAAGACGCTCTACTTCAATAGATTTCGCTTGTTGGGAAGTTGTAGACAGCACAGACGGAAGATCCAGGGGAACTCCTGTNATTCGGAGTTTGCAAAAGTTCAGTAAGAAATAATCTCCCCTTTACTTACACAGCAGTGCTCTACCCCAGATTTTCTACAANATTCAGAGTTTGCAAAAGTTCAGTAAGAAATAATCTCCCCTTTACTTACACAGCAGTGCTCTACCCCAGATTTTCTACAACAAGACGCTCTACTTCAATAGATTTCGCTTGTTGGGAAGTTGTAGACAGCACAGACGGAAGATCCAGGGGAACTCCTGTTTGCCGGGTGAAAGCCTCGGACAGTCGAACAGACGGTCTGGTTGTAGAGGGGAGGATGGGAATCAATCCCCGAACCTACACGTCAGGAGTTGTGTCGCACAGCACGCCAGCGAGCGCCCGCCTCTCCGCCCCGTCACACACGAACACAATAAGCATCCACAGAGGTCACCGAGAGCGCATGGGGAGGCCTCTACGCGCCGCGTGGTCTGTCCTACCTGTCTGGGTGGCGTTGTTGGTAGCGCTTGCGGTTGCGTCACCGGCAGCGCCAGTTGGGATTCCTCCTTGTACATAATCAATGTCCGTCTCCCTCGTGCAGCAATCCACCCTTGGTTTGCACGCTGGCACTTAGGACAGCGAGCTTGTCATGGAGGACAGCGGTTCTGATTTCGACCCAAATGAGACAAATGAGGCTAGTGATGATGAGGATGATGATGCCGAGTTTTATAGGGGCCCATCCTACAAACCGTTGTATGCTGCGAACTCGGACAACTCTGGTCTCAACACGCGAGGGGCACGGCGGCAGTGACAACAATCGACCACGGCATCACCGGTCACGCAGCCACTCCGGACGGTCTCGCGTGAGCCGCAACAGCTGCAGCTGCAGCGGCGACAACAACAACAGCAGCATGGACGATGTCCACCGGAGCCTTCTCCTGCCAAAAACTCGAACTCGCCTGACATGAGTGACAAAACCGGGGGCGCAGGTCGGCAACAGCGAGCACAACAACAGCGGGCCCTGCCCCAACCGGTCACGCAGCAGCAGCAGCAGCAACCAGCCTCACCAGATGCTTCTCCAAACAACTCTGCTCTATGTGTCGCTACCGTAGCCCGCGGCCGGAACAAAGGCCAAAAGTGCGGCAATTAGGTTGGAGTTAGGGTGCCAGGATTGTGCAAGCACCATGACGGCCAACAACGGAAGCGCTGCAAAACAGCATTTAGTGCTGCTCTTGGAGTCGGGACCAGCGACGGGGCACCCAATTATGACTCGGAGAACAAGTCGGGAGGTGGCGTGGACGAGCTGCAGATGCCTGGTGCGGATCCTCGCATAGCAAAGTTTCGGGAGACGCACTGCGCCCAGGTGGCGAAAATCCAGGATGACGGCTTCATGAGGGCCTAGGAGAGTGCGTGGCACCTCAAGCTCGAGAAGCAGGAAAAACCCAAGGTGTGGCAGATAGCGTAAGCCTAATTTCGAGCGCTGGTCTGTTTTCCTAGAAATGTCTCCCTGCATGATATTTTTGACGCCATGAGTACACAACGGTGCCGCTTTTCTCTCTGTTCGATAGCGATACACATGTTTCTCATGTAGTCTAGGTGGTTGGTTCACAGCGGTACCATCGACCGCGCTATTTAGGCGTCTGACCAATGCAAAGTTTTGGAGTCACTAATTGCTTTTGGTGTCATCTTTGCTTGTGGTACTCTGACCAAACGTATACTCTTGAGCCTGCCTCATGCCATGTGTTATTTGGTACTGCTGTTGTACGATTCAGTTACTTCAGGTGCATTACTAGGTTCTATCTAACGAGCTCCATCCCCTTCGGTGCTTGTTGTTGGCATCTTCCAGGAAGCTCAACCACCCCCCCCCCCCCTCCCGGAAGATCCTCTGGAGTGGGTGTTGAAGGGACTACCGCGGGACGAGTCTTCCGAGCCGTACACCCGCATCCCGGCCGGGCGACAAGTTCAGCCTATCCGACGACCTGAAGGCGAGCCTACCGAAGGTCGACATTGCAGGGCTATCAGCTTTGCGGTCTTTCGTCAACGGCAAGGGCCAGGCTCTACCCTTCACGTTCTTCGAGAAGACATTCCCGAAGGAGGCGCAGGACATCGTCCTGAACGAGGTGGTGAAACCCAGGGTGGTTGTGTGTGGCTTTGTTTTGTTGCGAGTTTCCCCCCCAAATCGTTGCAGTATTTTGCGAACGACAAGAGGGTGGTGGAGTTGTGTTTATGCCACTCGCGACCGGAGTGAGGAAGAGTAGAGCGGCCACAACTTTCACAGTAATACAGCGCGGACGATAGGTCGCGGTCCAGTATCCACCGTGCTGTTGTACCTCGTTGTGTAAGTGAGGGCCATCGGTTTATCGTTACATGTTGAGACGTACAGCAGTCAGGCTCCGCTGGCTGGGGGGGGGGGGAAGGCTCCCAGAAACCAGTACGTATCAGAGTCGACGAAATGCAAAATGCAAAACCAAAGGCAGGCAACGACAACGTGTGAAAATAGTCCTATTGGCGCAGTCCTTGGCGCCGCAAGCAGCTAAGATCGTCAGCAGCATGTATGCGTTGAACATTGCACGGGACAATCGAGACTCACGTATGTGTGTCTTCATCTCCACATGTGTGCTCCAGCATGTTTGCGGTGTGAACCACCAACTCCCAAGAAATTTGGCATCCTTTCCCAATTTGGTTTTACAGAATCCCTCTTGTGTCCCTCCCCTTCCCGCGCCTTTGCATGCCCGCCGCTTCCCGCCCTTTCACCAGACGAACAGGTATGTGAACTTTTGCGCCGACGAGTCTGATCCGCCGCCGGAACACCGGGAAGACCGGCACAGGAAGAAGAAGGTGGTTCGTGGCTTTCAGGAGGTTCCGTCGAAGGAGATGGCGAACGGATCTCGAGAGTACGCCTTCGAGCGCAAGCACCTGTACGGCGTGATGGGTATCCTCATTACCGCTGGACTGACCAGGAAGCCGAGGATCATCGATCACTGGGGCGTCGGAGCCCACGACAACTACCCCCTGGCCCGGGCCTGCATGCCTCGAGACCTCTTCATCATGTTCTACGACCGCTTCTTCCACTTGGCACCTCCCACCGGCAAGCTCAAGAAGGATGATCCCCAGTACGACAGCAAACACCACATCAGGTATGCCTCATAGAAAAACACGCACGCCAACAGACTGCAATTGTAGGTACGGTGGATGGGTATCTTATATTTTCGTCTGGAGGATATTTAATTTTTTTTCAGTTATGGGGACCAATATGGGGTGATCTTTGCCCTTGGCGTTGTGTCGTCTCGTTCGCCCTCTCAGCAGAATGGCCTAAATATTGCTGAATAGAAGTTGCTCGAATACGAACCGTTTGGGCCCACTGGAAGCTGCTTTGGAACAAGGTGTGAATCGTAATCGGAACACGAAACATCCGTATCGGTGTCGGCCTTCAAATTCGCTCAGGTTGCGTGAGTTATGGTGAATCGCTAGTTGGGGGAGCAATACACATGTATGTCCAGCGCCCCCCCCCCCCGGCCCAGAGTAGTATTGCTAACTCCAATCAGTACTTGCTCTCTACGTGAACCCCGCCGGCTAGCTCCGCCGATACCGTCAGCAAGTTCGCTCAAGCCGTCAGCAACGCGTGGCTCCTGTTCTCCGAGTGGGCCGGAGTGCTAGCCACGCAGTGTACCGCAGCGTTGGAGGCGGCGACACAAGACGGGGGGGTGGGTAATGCCGGGGACGCCAGGGAAGCCGGAGAGGGCGGGGCGGCGGCGGACAGTTGCGACCTCACGGTGGCAGCGCTCCCAAGAATTTCAATGCCTAGTCGAGAAGGCTATTACGATGGAGCGTATTGACTGGGAGCGTAGGCTCGCCAATCACCTCATGTCCTTGTGTAACGTGGGTCACGGTGGGAAGGGGGCAAGACGCACGACGACAGTGGAGTCGTACCGCGTGAAGGGCGCACGCGGTCAGCGTGTATGACACGGGGGGGCTTGCAAAACGACGGCCGGTCCTTACACTGGGACTAGAACTTATGGGGTATGCTGGTGTGATACTTGCACGGGTGGGATGGGGAAGGACCGGGCGTTGATGCTGTGCAAGACGTGCAGTAGAGTACCAGAAGCACATGTTGCCGCTAAAAACTGGGCCGCCGAGAGAACGTACAAGCCAATCAATTGGTTTGGATCGCCGCCCGAGTAATTCATTGTGATTGTGTGTGTCCCAGGCAAGTGTTTTGAAGTGCCAGAAAATGCGTCGCCGCCACCGTCAGAAGACTATCGGGGGGAGGGGGGTTATGTACAAGTTCGTCGACAAGCAGCCCTGTTGCAACGATCTTCTGTCTGTAGCTTGACTAGCTGATAGTTGAATCGGAGTTGTCGTTGTGATTGTTTGCATGCTACGGTGTGAAGATGCCGCCCGATGCGGCGGTTGGTATGCACTCGAAACACGCAGAGAAAAGCAGGAGGCAGGAGGGATTCCCACGGCTTCATGGGTACCTCGTACAACCCCATGCTCGTTTTTCGCTACTCGGGTGCCAGGCTTAGGGTTGGTCCGGCATGCGTTGGCAATGTCAGCGTTCCGGGTTGGAATGGAAGGGTAGGTTCATGTGTCGACAGGCGGGCGAATGCCCTGCGCCAATGGAAGAAGTCTTGCGCATGCAAAAAATGCGGAAAGGTGTTACGAGTCATGTCTATCGTAAATTGAACAACACGCATACACTAATGCCTTTATGGGCACCGCGGACACTCTTTTTGTCACGTTCCGTTCCCTATCATGGTGGCAAGAGCGAAGAGGCACGTGTCGTGTAATGCCTGTTGAAATGTTGTTTGGGCACAATCGACACATGCTGTCGCGAGCGCTTGCCTCATGGCCGTGCTTGTCGCATGGAAGCGTTGTTGCTTTTCGCCAGGAAATTTGTCGTTGTTGTCGTTCTTATTCTTGTCCTTATCATGAAAAAAACAGCTGCAGCCTCTGGTCAGCGCCATCTAATGTCCGTACCCGTGTGACGCGCACGCCTACCATGGTCACAGGCCAACTACCCCACAAAGTTGCACACTTCGAGAAAGATAAAACGCCAGGCATCGCTGGTGTCAAATTGCCCGGCATAAACAACAAAGGAGTCCAACGCTCTCGCAGGCAAGCGCTCTCAAACAAACCGACAAAATAAACCAAATAATGAATCAAGAGTACGACATCGTCCGACAATCTATGAGCCCGTCTATGTAGACCGGGGTGTAGCCACCGGTGCAGTTGCAACCCTCATGCGCTGCCGATCAGGTAGTACCTACAACACATTCACGTCCTGCTTTGCGAAGGCTGCAAGTTAGATCACAAGGCAGACAGGTTACGCACGCATCACGCGGTGTCCTTGTTCAAAAACGCAAGCATACATCAAGACAGGGCGGTTGTTTCTCGGCACTCCAGTTGGTAAGCCCACGTCCACATACATCCACATAGACTACATGAATACTTTCATCACGATAACAACGCGCAACTGCCGACGACAATGCTGCGGCATAAAAAATAACCAAGACAAAATGAAAGCACCAACAACGGACAAACATTCGGCCGTAGGCCCTCATACAAACGCAGTCGGCCTTCATCCACGACGTTCAAGACATGAACGCAACACGCCAACATGTAGAGGTGTTGCGAAGGACGACACCACCTATGACACCACCTCTATTTAGTCTCTAAATGCCTCCACCACGGAGGCCTCCATTTCCTCCTTTCCAGGCCACAATGCCCGGCAGGCATGCGTGAAGCACTCTGCTCTCTTCAGCTGCACTCCCTTCCCACCACGCGCATTCATGGCCACGGCCCCGTCGTAGCACGCCTGTGGCATTGCATGCATTGTCCGGAATACACACGTGATGCACGGCAGTAGTATTACGCCTCTCGTCGACAGTTTAGTGCTGTATGCATGCACACATACATTCGAACGGGCGGAGAGAGCCAAGGTTGGAACTAGCTTTGACAAAACGAGGAGTTTGCCCGTCAGCGATCACTGCTGTGTGCAGTTTGGGCAGAGCGGGTCGAACAAGCAGCAGGATGGGAAGGTGTAACTATGCATATGCATACGACAGCAGTAGCGCGTCGGGCGAATGGAAGGTGTAACTATGCATATGCTACGACATTAGCAGCGTCGGGCGTATGTTGAAGTTTGATCCACCTCTGAAATGCAGCATTGCACTACTGCGGCTGTACAGCCCTATCTCTTCCTGGGAACAGCAGCTCGTTCCTTTCTCTCTGGACTCCGTGCTCCTTAGACAACAAAACCAAGGCCTTGGTGCTCCAACAACAACACCAAACAACAACAGCTGCATCCGCCCCTCTACCTGAGGCAATACTCACTTGGTTGCGGAACTTGTTGGCAGTGGTGGAGCCCGATCGACGTGTCACGTCCTCAGTCCGCACGGCTGTATTACGTGAGCGTGGCAAACCCCACGCAGACCCGGATGCTCCGCCGCAGCCTTCTTGGCAGCAGCTAGGGCCGTGCTCGGCATTGGCTCTGGGGCGGTGTCGTGATGGCAGCGATGGCAGTACTCGGCGCCAACCTTCGCGGCTACCTCAAACGCAAACGCACGCACCAGGGTGTTGGTGCCTGCTTCCGCCGGCGTAGTTGCCGCGATCAGCGACACCATCTGCTCATGGCAGGCCATCGTGTTCCCGGCCTTGTACCCCTTGCTCATGGCAGGCCACTGTATTCCCGGCCTTGTACCCCTCGACGTCGGGGGTTGGGATGTCCATAGCTTTGGGGGCGTGTTGCGGATTGTAGGTGTTTAGTTTGTGTGCTGTGCGGTTTGTTGCTTTGTGTGCGTGGAGGGAGCACTATAGACCCGGCGNTTTGTACCCCTTGCTCATGGCAGGCCACTGTATTCCCGGCCTTATACCCCTCGACGTCGGGGGTTGGGATGTCCATAGCTTTGTGTGCGTGTTGCGGATTGTAGGTGTTCAGTTTGTGTGCTGTGCGGTTTGTTGCTTTGTGTGCGTGGAGGGAGCACTATAGACCCGGCGGGGCTCACATA